TTTGACTGTTTATTTGTGCTTTTCCTAGACCTCTGCTTGTGGAAAACTGTGCGGGTTGATGCTGGCTTTGTGTTTACATGGCAAGAAACTGGCTTGTTGTTGGTTTGAACTCCTGCCTCCCACAGTCGGGTTGTGGTGTAAAGAGCTTTAAACCCTACAGTAGTGTCATTTTTAAAGGCCTCAGTGGAAAGTGTTATATACTGTATAAATACAGCCTCAGAGGCTTTCCCACCCTGATTACAAATCGAGCTGAAACATACTCCTGCACATACTGCTTAGAAAATGTCACATTCTGTCAACAAAATGTGTCCAAGACAGAAAAATGTGGCTGCATGAGGCGTAAGGGACTTGCTGATGCAGTGTGCAGTTGGCATTTTCTTTCCAATTATAGAGCTGCTCTCATCACATTCTGTCCTACACCTGAGGGCATCTGGGAGGATGTTCATCTCACCGTAACACACAGAAGACTCAACTCTTACTAATGCAGTGCTTTCTATGAGCATGAGGCAGCAGTACGCTGTCTGTTGGTCAGCTGTTCAACATTCAACACATCTGTTACAGGCAGCTGTTACACTGACCAGCGGTGATACAGTATCTCCTAAAAGTGAGTGCACCCCTCACATTTTTGTAAATATTTGATTCTATCTTTTCATATGACAACACTGAGGAAATGACACTTTGCTACAAAGTAAAGTAGTGAGTGTACAGCTTGTGTAACAGTGTAAATTTGTCCCCTCAAAATAACACATCACACAGACATTAATGTCTAAACCGCTGGCAACAAAAGTGAGTACACCCCTAAGTGAAAATGTCCACATTGGGCCCAAAGTGTCAATATTTTGCGTGGACACCATTATTTTCCAGCACTGCCTGAACCCTCCTGGGCATGGAGTTCACCAGAGCTTCACAGGTTGCCTCTGGAGTCCTCTTCCACTCCTCCATGACGACATCACGGAGTCACAAAAGATATAATGAAATATTTACAAAAATGTGAGCTGTGTACTTACTTTTTGCAACTCATCTGGACGTGTCCCACAGCCAGCGAGCTTGCTTTAGCAATGCGCTCTTATACTGGTATTTACTGCTTCATTACTCTAATCTGGCCTTTTTTTGCCATTTCACAACTTCCACATACAGAATCATCAAAATGTTCAGCTTCCACAAGTGTCAAACCTATTCAACTTTTTACTTCAACTATACTTCAGCAGAGCCACAAACTTTATTCATACTTAACATCTAGTACCACTTTTACATTTCCATTGAGGTTTTTAATATCTGGTCCGGTCATATCGCAATATCAATTTGAGGTTTTATTTGGATAGTTTCTGAGTTTATAATGGGTCTGCACTGTGCTGTGTGTGGGTGGTTTCCCCTTGTCACCCTACACAGTGTGTGGCGTGGAAATTCAATCACAGTGTCATGCCTGGTGTCCTACAGTAGGGTGCAGAGACAGCTTTGACATTTCTCACCCTCTGCTACTACTGAATCAGAGGACGGTTAACTCAGCCTCTCTTCCATGACTCATACAATTAACCAGCAGAAGCAGACCACTGATACACCCCCAAAATGAAATCCATTCAAAGAAACATTTATGTAAAAGCGTTTGCTCGCAAGTTTGCATCAGCAAAGGAGCAGCTGCTTGCACTCCACCTCCCCCCCGCCTCATTAGTGCCACTCTAAACAGACCTGTGGTGAAATTATGAATGGAGACAGACGAAGTCGAGTGCTGTTCCAAATAACAAATTAATTCATGATCCCAATTAGCATACATGCGCTGTTAATGTAGCAAAAATGCAATGTGTAATTACATAATGCATGAAAAAGAGTAAACTATGGCTTTGGTGCTAGAAGGTGAAGCTCTTCTCTCCTCTAACATCTTTGACTCTGCAGAGGACACCTCATTGAGTTCTTAAATCATCGCCTGCAGCCACTTTGAACCAACCAGGGATTCATGCAGATTAATGGAATCCTAACTAGCACACGGTGCAATTTATAGACCAACATGCAAGATATTATGACCCAAATTCTGTCCATTATTAAAACCCGAAACATCTCTGCCACTGCTAGCCTATTTATGTCATCCAGTTTCCATGGATACCATGCCACAGATACAATCTAAAGCACACACAGGTTTTCAAGTGCAGCATCAACTTTTCCTGACATTACTGCCTTACGTTCATTAATGCTCTTGAACAAAGGCTGATGAGTTCATTATCTCCTAATGTGCACAAATATTAAACAGATTTTTAAAAGGTTTAGAAAGAGAGTAAAGCATCAGTACCCTCTCATGGTGTCAGCTTTTGCTAGGATGCCTTGCCAAATGGTTGCAAGTTTAAGGCAGGATTAAGGCTGCTTTAGTGCCTTTGAGTAAAAACACTCAACCTGGTTTCGGTGCTTGTGCCAAGGTTGGGTATCAACACTCAATATTTCTTTGATACTAAAATGTCTCTGTAGCGCTGAGTACTGACCTAGAATGGTTTATCAGATTTGTAATCTTGTTTATTTATTCTTATGGTTCGAAATTTAATTGAAACAGTTGCCAGGTTTACATTAGGATTTATTTTGACCAAAGCTTCATGTGTCAGACAGCATTTAACATTTGAGAACTTTGGCTTATGACTAAAACACAGGTCTTGCTTCAGCAGTAGTACAGGAAAAAGGATGACCCAGCCCTTCTTTACACACAGGCATTCAAAGTAGCAAGTCCTCAGCCGTCATCTGTCCTGCCCAAATGGTCAGTAGCCTCCCTACCCCGCTCACACCCACAGACCATTGCCCCTCGATTTCCTACCAGGCCACTGGATGTCCTTCTGAGAACAAAAGAGTACAGAACAAAGCTGGCAACAATACTCTGTCTTCCTTATTTCCACCAGTTCAGTGAGGGCGAGCAGGAGCACACACACAATACCTGGCTGGAGAAGGAAGATGACATCATTTCTCCACAATGAAATGACTCATTGTTCCCCATTTAGCTGTCAACTTCAAACACAGGGAGCAACCGAACAGAAGCCTTTGTCAGCAGAATGCTAAGATAATTTCAACCTGAAATGTAAACCAGAAGCCTGCGCTCTTTTACCGCCAACAGCAGAACGGGTCATACTCAGAGTGCTCACTATCAGAGGCCAGACACAGCTTATGCAACTGAATCACTTTCTATATTAGATAAATCAGCTCAATTCAAAGAGCAGCTGCTCACACAATCAATAGTAGGTTGGGCTGGTAGCATGACATAAGGATTCCCTTTGATCCTGGCCACTGGTACACTGAAGATGTATGCTTCTTTGTCTGTGAAAAAGAGCTCTGCAGCTCTGCATTAATGACAAAGACTGGATGTTTAGCACCACCTGCTGGCTGAACAGAGAAGGACACTGTGGCGAGTAGTGTGTCCACACGACTGTCCACCACACGCAGAGCACAGAGCATGTCATAATGATGAACCGAAGAAATGTCTTTAACCATGGAGACACATGAAACAGTTTCAAAAGCAAATGGAACACATAACTAAATGGGTAAATAATGTTTAAAGTAGGCTAAAATGACTAATGAAGGGAAATACCTGAACATTTATCTAAACAGTGTGTTTTTGCTTTTTTAACCTTTATTTATTCAGGGGAGCTTCACTGAGAGGAATCCTCTCTTTAGCAGGAAGGCACATTGACACTATTACACATTCACACCTGGAAGCTACCCAGTAAAACCACAGCCTGGTCTGCTGTTGGTGTTATGGGCCTGCTTGGTTTACATTTCACACCCAGATTTATCCTGCTGGTCCAGGGATTGAACCGGCGACCTCCCGGCTTCCCTAACCTTTGGGCCACCACTGAGTGAGCCCCGTAGCTCTGCAGCTTGATTGATAAGGTTTGGCTTTTATTAACTGATCCATTTACAACTTTCATCTTATGGTAATATGGTAAACACATTTACATTTATTCATTTAGCTGACGCTTTTATCCAAAGCGACTTACTATACAGTCCCCTCCAAAAGTATTGGAACAGTAAGGCAAATTCCTTTGTTTTTGTTGTTCATTGAAGACATTTGGGTCAAAAGATGAGTATGAGACAAGAGTACCAGGAAATAAAAGCTGAAATTCTCAACTCTTGTCTGATCTTTTGATCTTAAACCCAAATGTCTTCAGTGAACAACAAAAACAAAGGAATTTGCCTTACTGTTCCAATACTTTTGGAGGGAACTGTATATGTAAGAGGTCGCAAGTGTCTTGCTCAGGGACATATTGGTGTTTCACAGTGGATTCGAACCCGGGTCTCTCACACCAAAGGCATGTGTCTTATCCATCACCACCCCCCAAATAAATGGTCTGTAGGCTTACTTGTATAGTGCCTTTCTAGTTTTTCCCCACCACTCAAAGCGCACTTACACTACATCACTTTCACCCATTCACACAGCTAAATCTGGGGATTAATATCTTGCCTTCAACATGGTGACTGGGGGAGCCAGGGATTGAACCACCGACTTGAAGAGGACAACTTCTCTATCCTGAGCCACAGCCATCCCTATGTCAAAGAAATATGAATCTGACTTTTTTTAAAATGAAGACAAAGAGCACGAAGAGTATAAAATCCTAACTTCCTCATGTAATTCCACCTCATCCTTTGAGGTAGCCTACACAAGGTAAATACAATCTAAGGTATATAGGTCTATCCCCACTAGTGACAATATTTTTCTGTCTCATTACCCATCCTGTAATTGGCATTCTCTCAAGTGCAATAACTCATCCAAACTCACTCAATCCTGAAAAGAAGTCTGTATTCATCCTTTCATGATTCATTTTTAAATTTAGTGCCTTGGTGCAATTGACTTGACCCGATCTGAAGTAACCCAGACTTGTGGCGTTTGTCGGCATTGCGTTTGTAGCAACTTAAGCAGCTGAAAACATGTATCTAATCCCACTAGACAGAGGTGATTAGCTGTTTGGTTAATCAGAAATTAAGAAAGGGACACAATAATACTGTACATGCATCAAACAAAACATTCAAAAGGGCATCTTTTCACCATTCAGTTTATTTCATAATGCCTTGCTCACTGTCATATACTGTACTTCAGTTCCCAATAACTCAGGAAACACTTAATAAACAGTGTGGTGTGTGTGGTAAATTAATTTTTAGTGAACAGAAAACATATGAGAACTGGTGAAGACTCACTCCTATACAGGAACAAATTTAAAAGTAAGACTCGTTAAGTCTTGCACTTTTAAAAAACAGAATTGCTTAAATGAGAAATAAAGTGGACATGACCAGACAAAACAAAGTCATTGTGCAAAAGTACTAGAGGGATATGAGACCAAGGAAAAATAGACTACCTCTAGTCCTTCTTTCAGAGTACATGTAAAGCTGGTGGAAAACATTTACATCATCAGCTTACTGACATATATCCTTCTCACTCCCCCCAGAAAGAATTTAATTGAATGTCCATTACATTAAAAATATCTCATCTCTTTTTTTTTTGCTTTTATCACCACTAAATGTCACATAAAACAAGCACTTAAAATGCAGGCAACTTCTAAGGCAACATGTGAACTAAAAACAAACTAGATACTGTATAAGGAGCTACAGGCTCCTCTATTTTGTCCGTAAGGGCATTCCCAGACCAGATAAAACATGTCCTGATGCAAAAACGACACAAGAGCTATCATACAAAGTGAACTACAGAATAGAAAAGACAAAAACATCTACACGCAAAAACAATACTGAAGTCAAAATAAAAAGGGAACCCACAGCTCCGGGTGTTTGCTCTGGAAGCTAGTTGTGTTTTTAAGAGCACAAGGAGCAGATCATGTGCACATCACTCTCTGAACTGAATACATCACACACCTTGAAGTAATAATCAGGTTTGGTGGCCTGTGGAAGGGCTCATGATCATGATTAGAAAAGGAGAGGTTAGGGATAAATATATTGATCTAAGGGGGGGGGGGTGTTTTGCATAACGGGCCACATGCGCACTGTAGAACAGGTTCCATCCTCATCACTCTCTTGCTGAAAAGCCTTTGTCTTAGTTTTTGCACTCTGGAGGACGGTGTGGCTGTCAGCAGCTGAGGAGGGGACCCACCAGAGGCCCTGAGAGCAAACGTATAGAAACACACGAGCCATGCTCATCTGCCTGCCTTCCCACCACTGCTGAAGATAAGTTCCATCCCAGAGTACAGTAGCAGGGTCTGGAGTGATCCGGATGGGCTGCAGTGATTGTTTGGTCTGCGGTCACAGAATACACTGTGAGGATGTGCAAATGTATGTACAGAGGACGCCACCTTCCTGCTGGACAGAAGTAAGGGCCTACAATGCAACATGCAGGACACAGTAGAATGCAGGTCTCTTTACAAAGCTGGACTGGGAACTGTGTGTGTGCACACAGAGCATGGGAGTGGGTAGGGTGGTAGAGCTGGGGTGAGGAAGTGGTGGGCAGGGACGGGATAGTAGCAGTTCATATGTCTCTGTCTCATCACGACGTGCCCTGTCTCTTCTGTTGCTGGACCCGGATCAGCTCCAGCTGTTTTTTGCACTTCTGGTAGTATGTGGACAGACTCTTGTTCTCCTCCAGGAGCTTTTTGTGCTCCTGCACCAGACGGGACGTGTTCTGCTGGTCCTTCTCATCTTGGTCCAGTTCAGCGATGAGCTCCTTCCTGCACAGAGGGGATATGAAGCAGTGTTAACCCTCTGAGCCGAGGCCGTTTTTGATTTGTTTACACTCAAATTCCAGACTTGTGGCACCGTCACTACACTAGAGCGCTCAGTTCTTCAGAAAGGCAAGTTCCAACGAATTCGTACCAACAATGACTTCACTGGAAAACATTTGAAGCCATGCCAATGGGCCGCATAGCGTTACATATAAATATTGCTCTGTTATCGCTGTTGGCCCGGGTTTCTGGTCGGGGTCCTGTGGTGAAAAGGAAGCAGATGAGGTGGTGTTGTTGACCCTGCTCCACTCGTTTTTGGAGCCTACGCTGCCTCACTTGGGTGGCAAACAGCCTTATCTTTGCTGATCATTCTTTCATTTTTACAAGCCAGTTTTTGCTTTGTCACTGTGGAGTACTGTACATTCCTGCTAATTTAAGGGCTTATTGCTGACCCGTTTCTCTCTGCTCTGCTGCCATTCACTGCGTACACACACACACACACACACACACACACACACACACACACACACACACACTCAGACGAAACTTAACAAAATATGTACGTCTACTAAAACAAGACACAGATGAGACGGCAACAATGTCCTTCAATGCTGACTGGGACCATCTTAACATGCAATATTGTTGACGAAAAATTACGAGACTGTAATTCATAAAATAAAAACGTTAATAAAATCTTTCTCTCTTTATGTCAGTATAATGAGACGACAAAATATTACAGGCCATATTTTCTCCCTCTAAATTTTCACTAGAACTGTGTTCATTCAGCTGTGTTTTTTTCTTCCTGTGCTTTGAATGCTGGCCAACCAGGGGCGACGCCTGGTGCGCGAAGAAAACGTTGAGGATGCGAACTCTGGTGATGAACACAACATGCTAAGGAGAAAGAGGATGTGATATTTTGGGGGTCTATATTGACAGCTTGCTTTATTGCCATTATTCTCTATATTTATCATGGATCATGCTGCGTGTCAGACTTCATCCAGCCAGAGGGAACGGTCACTCCGAGATCTCCTGTCCCTGGTCCACTCCACTCCCTCTCCAGTATGGGTTGTGTCGCTAGTACAACCGACATGCTGTGAACGGTTTATGATCGTTCCCTCTGGCTGGATGAATATTACGCATGATCCATGCACTACTGCAGCTGGGGGCTCTCCGCAGCGCCACACAACTTTCTAAAGTCTTCCCTCTCACGGAGAAAAGGCCTACATGCTTGCAGCTATCAGTGATTCAGCAGTATGAATCACAGTTGGTTCACCTCCTCCCACGTCACGGAAAAAAAAACTGATCTCCACCAAAAACTATGTAGAGTTCGCACACTGATGTGGTTATAAGATTTTTGGAAAAAACAGAACAAAACTATCATTCTCTATCATATCTATCATATCTCTATTTTGGTTCGAGCAGATTGACCAAAATGCGAATCAAAATTATACTAATCAGTTAGAAGACTAAAATGATGGTTAATGACTAAAACTAGATAAAATACATTTGATTTTCTTTCTAAAATCCCTAGACTTTTTTAAATTGTATCCAATGGACTAAAATTGCAAAAACTAACAAGGACATTAGTCACAGGACTAAGACCAAGACTAAATTTTAAAATGGCTGACAAAATTAACACTATCAAGCAGCAGGTTGAATAAGATTATATAAAAATGACATTTTGGCAAACCTGCACCATGGATGCATAGACGACAATCAGCTGGATTACTGAAGGAAACATCTTAACATGATCATAGCTTCATATTAGAAAGTTTCAAAGAGCATTGTTTCTTTCTAGGATTTCTAAATGGATTTTGGAAATCGATCCGCTGCACTTTGGGACTAAAGTAGTACTGTTTCAAAAACATTGAACTTCAGGGATTTTATGACAAATTCTTGACTACTGGAGGATTTACTTCCAAAATAAAAGCAGTATACATTTTGGAGTAAATACTGATTCTGTCTGACTTATTCCTTCATGTTCTATAAATCCGAAACGAGCTCGTTAGTCAAAGACAGCTGTTCCGACGAGCTCGTCTTCTGCAGCTTGGGATGGCGGGTGCCTTGGATTTGTCTGCTAAGTTCAACCTTTGCCTTTGAGTGGCTTTCTGGTAAAGTCACCTTAATACCACCCTGTTTATTCTGCTGGCCCTGTGGCAACACATGCATAATAAGAAACATTTCCACTGTTTGTTGTGTACTTAGAAGTACACTGAATACCCTCAACACCAAACCAAACCCCTTCTAAGATCAAATGACCTTGAAATGTGGCTGCTTTGTGCAGCAGACTTACTTTCTCTGGATCAGCAGGGCGATCTCAGTTTGTACTTTCAGGTATTCTTGGGCCATCTTGCAGTGCTGCTCAAACACAGCCATGGACTCTTTGGAGTTGGGACAGGGAGCGAGAGGCTGGGGGGAAAAAAAATCTTCAAAATCTGCACATGCATCGTAACAATATATTTATATCAGCATTAAGTATAGTCTGAATAGATAATACACCGAACATCTCACTGATGCTGCCAATTTCACATTCCACTTTTTAGATGGCATCATGTTTTCATAAATAATCCCTTCATAATGAAGCTGGTAGTAGCACTTTACAATGTGCTTCACTTCATCTTTGAGAGCACAGAGGTGAGCTGCAACACCACCAAAACACAGTGAAAGCTGATTCAATGCAGCTTGGATCGGACAATATTTGAACCAAACAGGTTGTACGTAGTGCTGTTTGCTGGAGGCTGATTGGACGGTGTACCTGCAGCTGGTGATCCAGGGTGAGATAAGCCATGGGAATGGAGTTGTCTGAGCCGTTGGTGTCTGAGAAAACAGAAGAAAGAGAACTCTGGGCTGTTTGTTGTTTCTATGACTGCACAGGAACAGTGCCGGCTCTCCTCCATAGCTCTTTCTTAAGAAAGAACCTCCTGACCGGAGGAGGCCAGCACTGTAAACCACTGATTAACAGCACGCAGGATGTCTCCAACGTAGCCTGACAGATTTACATCTGGCCACAATGACACTTGCGCTGTTCCAGCCACCGTGTTTAAAGGGCAACTAACAGGAGTGAGGTGTCAAATCCAACCTTCACTCATTTCTCTAAGACACGGACCTTTGCAGCTAACAATCACGCTTATATTCTTAGTGTCTTCACTGATTAAGTACTGGACTGTAAAGTACAGTGAAAACACTTAAAATACATTAACTTCTATAATTAATACTTTTTTTTTTTTTTTAGGTGCAATTGTGAGATTTACTAATGTTGCGTTACCTGACTTTAATTGAAAAGTTGTCATGAGTACCTGTGGGGTCATCAGGGGAGTAGTAACCTCTGCTGCTCGCCTTGTCAGGTGGCATCATCCTCACACTAGGACTGGAGGACCGGCTGCTGTTCCTGCTCCCCTGCAAGAGGGAGCAAACACTGTTAATCATCTTCGAAGCCAGTCAGAATGTTCAAATGGCAAAACGTGAACCCGACCATCAGAAAAAAAAAATAAGAATGCAGCAAAAGCAATCTGCTAAGAATGCACATTTGGAGGCATACATGTATACTAAATGAAGCTTCCTCAAGAAAATTACATTTTTAATGGTGTGACTTGTGATTTTGCCAGCTTGCAATCGTCACTGAAGAGTTGGTGCAAAATGCCTACAGGACAAAATTCCAGAATCAAATTGATGTTCCTGGAGACTGACAGCTAACAATGTCACATCAGGAAATGGCACTGAAAATGAAAAGGTTAGCTCAATGTCAGTGTGGTTTTACATCTGCCAACCATTTCTTAGTAGCTTTCTATGAAATACCACTTTTGAAATGAATCATCAGCTTTCATCACACAGCTGACTGTCAGCTGACACCGCCGCTGTGCTGTGTCAGTGACTGCAAATCCACACTTCTTGTTTCTTTATTTCCTGAGTTACTTGCCTTCAGAAAGCTGTTTATTGTATAAATTATACCATGTCCACAGAGGATTCTCGATTCTGATGGTGTGGATTAATTTTTAGTAATTAGAAGGTATAACCAAACAGCTCTAATACTGGTGTTTGTCTGCAGGTCTAAATGAATAATGTATTAAACTCTGAGTGAGGGCAGCAACAGAGCTGAGTTATTTGTGGAACAATTTTTAAAAAATGATAAACTGCTACTTAGAGAAAGTCACACAAATGTGTCTCATATTTGGGTAAATCAGGATGTCCAAATCAGTAGGAGGAGAAAAGAAAGGACTTTGGAAATAATTTGTGACACCAAGGCCAAATGTGGCAAACAACCTCTGCACGATCCATTACAACTGTGGAACAGCCAACTTGTCGGACATTATCCCCTACACGCTTCACAATGAACTACATTTGGCAAAATGTGCCATTAAAACAAAAATTATGACTGAAGCAAAAGATCCAGTTAGAATAATGAGAATCCAAACTATGAAACTATGAAGATTTGTCTCCAATGCAACAGTGGAACAACACATACCATCAAATTAATTAACAAGTTAATCCAGTGTTACCAACATAAAATGATTTAGTTTTTCTGTAGATGCTTATATGGAAATGGAATCAAAATGGTAAGAACGTAGATTCAGTCAAGCAGCCCCATGATCAGTGGCCCTGTTACCCCACCGGGAAGCTGGAGGGCAGAGTGATCCCGCAGACATCACAGCACAATTTATCTTCTTTAGCAACAACAAGATCTTTCTGGTGAAGTCTAAATAAAACGTTGACTGCGCGGGGCTGCTGGTTTACTACTAAACAAATGAAGATAATGTTTAGAAGAGCAGGTGATATGCTCCCAGCCAAGAAGCTTATTTGAAGTGGCGGTGGGGTAGGTGTGTTCCTACACTGTCTTTATCTTCTTGGAGCTGACATATACAAATGTCATGTTCTGTGACATTTTCTCCCAAAGGACTTCTTGCTTGACAAAGAATGCAACAAACACTTTGAAAGATGACATCAGTCAAACATTCACTAGAATTCACAGGAGGAAAGGAATGATGCAAGTTCAACTTTTCATTTGGAATCTGTGCATCATTAATCTCCCATGATTACAGAGAACATTAGCCAGCTGAAATCATGAAGCCATCCCATTTTTGCAGCCAAAAATGATTGCTGAAAGGAAATAAATAGTAGGGCTGCACATGACAATTATTTTGTAACTGAGTAATCTAACAAATCCTCCTTCGATTAATCAAATGACTAAATTATTGATTATTCTAAATGTATATTATACAGCAGGTTGGTGTGTTTTGGCTGGAAAAAAACAAACATGCAATTTAATTTGAGTCAGATTTTAAAATGTTACACCTGCTACACAGAACTAATTTTACCCTCTGTCTCAACAGTGACTCTGCTCCGCAATGAATGAAACCCCACAGAGCCTCTGCCATCCACCTCTAGTGTCTGACTGTGTCTTACCTGGCTGGACTCTGTGCCGAGGCCTGGCAGGTCCTGCACAGACCGACGTCTCTGAGACTCACATGTGGCTGTGGACAGGATGGACAGAGAGGAGAAAGAATGAGACCCAGAAGACTTAGACAGACTGATGATGGGAGATTGGTGCCAGTGTTTGCTCGAGGGACCCATAGCTGAACTGATTTAACTCTGTGTGTCCTGGCCTGTCAACATGTGCTGCGACATGGATGGGTTATGACCACAGTGCTTAAAGCATGCAGCCCAACTGACAGTGTATAAAACACACACACACACCACTGCAGACCCAACCTATATACAGCTGAGCCTACTTATGTGACGGCTTTGCACTGACTGGCGGGTTTGGGTTAGGGTAAGTCGAGGTCTCAGACAAGGCCCGTGGGAACTGCCAGGTACGGCACTCTCTAGTTATCACTCATTCATCAGCTGCCCAGATTAACACCAGGTCAAGGCATCCCCCCTGTAGGGTAGCTGCAGTCAAAAGATATTACTAGATATTAATAGACAGTCTTTACAGTCACATCTTTATGTCCAACTACATGTCATGACAGGGCTTGTGAATTATAGGGGATCGGGTTTATCTGGTCTAGGCTGACTACAAGCTCCGTCTATGGCACAATGAACACTTAAGGAAACATAAATTAACAAACAAGCACTCAAAAGAACACAGCAACTTGTTGGATCTTAATGTTCTGTATGTGTTGTTGCAATACTGTGTGGTCTGCAGTACAAGTAGGTAAAGAATTTGGACGCCAATTCTGGACTTGAACCCACAATTTTTCAGTTGTTGCTCTATGGCAGGGTGTACATGTATTCACCCATAACCTTTCAGTACGGGATGTTTTGTTAGATACGTGACTTTCTTTGCCTGTTGAACTGCCCTAATGCACTATACTTTAGTCCATGTCTAGCATGTGAGGATATAATTATGAAACCTATCCGAAAGGCTTTGGCAGTGGGACAGGATAGATGTATTATGTATAGATTGTGATGGCCCCAGGGCCTCTGCCGTCTCTGTGTCTGTGTTCTCTTGCAGGGTGTACTTCTTGGTGGAGTGGAGCTGAGGCCATCAGGGAAACCAGAGGCAGCTGGCCACTGTCTTCAGATTGCATAAAACCCACCCCTTCCTGATTGTTGCGGGCTTGACTGCTTGTTTCTTCTGCTCCCCAGCACCATGTCGTGTTCCTTTGTTGTCTTTTGTTTGTTTAAGTTAACCTGGCACTTTGTTTGTTAAGCTTTAAAATTATTTTTTACATTTGTTAAATTAAATTACTTAAAAAGTAAAACACCTTTTCTAGTAATCCCTTAAGTGTGGCTTCCTCTATTTGCTGTGGCCTCTGAGCTGGGCCATAACAAGATTGATAAATGCACTTCCTCTTGACACTTTGACATTATGTGCCCTTGTGGTGTTGCATATTGTCGGACAGCTAGATTGTCTACTTCCATCAACTCTTGGGTTTTCAACTGTCTCTAGCATTGTCAAATTTGTATTTTTCTGCTTTATGAGACTCTCTCTCTCTCTCTCTCTGGTTTAATTCGGAAATACACCACATTACTAAAGTTAAAATACTCTGTTTTACTCCATTTTAATGTTGTCTCTAATGTTCAATGTAAGTTTTTTATAGACATGTTGCACTTGCCTAAATGGACAATTATTTTTAATATTTGAGTTGTACTAATGCTGGTGCATTATTGACATACTGACTTTTTTATATGGTCAATATACCAATGTTTGATAGCTATAACTTTTACAGTTAGAATTAAAGCAAATTAACATTAAGCTTTACCAAAATAAAAGATTTTTCCTGCTGTACTAAAAAAACTGATTAAACATTTTCCCTGTACCTGAGGTACACAGTGAACTGTGAATTTTGTATACCGTTATAACCTGACTCAATGGCCACCAGAGATGTATGTGCTGGGGAGAATATAGTGTGTCCAGGTGTGCACACTCTATGATAAGTGCCCTACCTTTTTATACCACGCACCATGCTGACTCCCGTAGTCACCGGATTAAAGTAGCGACTCATTCAATGTGTCTCACACGCCTCCAAAATAGAAGCCTTTTCTGACATCCAGAGCTGCCCCCATTCCTTTCATCCATATCTCTGCTTGTAATAATAGCTCTGACTCTCAGTGTAAGAGAAATGAATCAAAATGCCTTTTTTTAAATTTTATTAATGGATGTAAAGACAGCAAGAGGGGGAGAACAAATTTGGCATGCTTTCTCTATGACCTCTATGCATGAAAGGCAAGGACGAGCTCCTGCTACCCATGATGTGCTGCTGCCATGTCAGAGAGATGACAGAAGGAACAGGGCCATGAGTTAGGAAGCATATCTCATCTGTGTCACCCGATCTGATGCATTATACCATTTAGATTTCCTGAAGTAAGCTAAAGATTTGTTCTTACAAACTCAAGTGATAGTAAATAGGCTTGGGCGGTATCAAGGTATTACGGTGTATCAAGGTATATGAAAATTCAGACGGTAAAACAGAGAAGCTCCTTCTATTAAGGTGTTAAGGAAATGCTGCCTTCAACGTAGGCAGGCAACGCTGTGTGATATCGTCCTTGACGCGATAACCCGCTTTACTTTCCCAGCAGTTGGAAAACAATAGACACACGTGAGCTTCAGCTGCAGACTTTCTCACTGACAGACTGGAATCTACACTGTATTTACTCCTGAACTTCAATGCTTCCTTTTTCTTCTCCGCTTAACTGCTGCTTGCTCTCCAAAAAGCGACTCGATGGCAGTTGTGAGAGGCGGGATAATGTTCCAGGACTAGTACTACAAGAGAAGGCCCCTGCCCCTGTTTGGGAGTATTTGGGGTTTAGTCCCGATGATAAAGGTGAGCCAGCTGACAGGACGAAGCTGTGCGCCATCATCTCCTTTCAGCCCACAGATGTGTGTGTATCTACAGCAACAAATGTCATCAGGTCCTGATAGATACCGCCCAAGCCTAATAGAAAGACTTATCAGGAGGAAACTTAATTATTTGGAACTAGATTTGGGGTGTAAAAGTTGACACCAGATGAGAATATTAACTCATGTTCTGCTTCAGCCAGCTAAGAAAATCACAGAGGATACCAAGCAACTCTTATGTGTGTAACTCCAAAACCTACTCAATTATTTCCTTTAAAAAAATACAGACTGCCCTAAGACACGCAACAAATTTAATACGATTAAACATTGTGGTTGGTATCATATGGAGTGACACACAGAAGAGGGACACAAAAGATCACAACAACCCATGGGCTCAGCCAAGCCAGCTCCACCTGGTCACCAGGAAGCCCAGCGGTGATACCTGTGACGAGGATCTTGGGAACATCCAGAATGGTGCCGAATGACGCCGTTTTACGGTGTCCTCGTTTATACTGGGGGCCTGCTGTGAAGACACACACATACAACTGCAAACAAAAGCATGCAGACTAAGACAGACTGGGGGCCCACAGCCGGAAATGTGGGCCACACACATGCAGAGCATACAGTGTACGTGCAAAGGGCAGCATGCACCCCGTCCATTCAGACGCTGAGGAGCAGTACTGCGTAGACTGCCGGCAGCCACTGCACTATTTTTCTAAGCACAAACATCAGCAGGCATTCAGCTCCAATGCTGTTTGGATCAAAAGTTTAACATGGCAGTCTAAGGACAGAGGGCGTTGAAGCTCAGTTTACAGGAACTCTGTTCATGAAAGTTACATCCAAGTCTGAAAACAGAAACAGCAAAAAACAAACCCTCCGCGACCCTGTACGCAGGATAAGCGGTTGACGATGGAAGGATGGAAAAAACAGAACAAAACATACACTTAAAAAAAGTCAATACTCTTGTTTTTGTCAGAGCCTTTAAAAGGAGGAGAGATGGTCTGATGGGCCTCAGTGATCAGAGGCATCTAGATGGGCTCATAGAGGAACCAATATTAACCTCCAAGTGATAAAAGCACGTGAGTAAGAATCTGACTGGGGCGTCAGGGGTGGAGTTTTCCTTGATAAGTAACTGTTCTGCTTCCACGTGTCGCTCTGTGCTGTGTAATGTCTGGAATTACCTGAAGGTGTAAATGGCATCTTGGGCTCCAGCTCTGACAGGTCAGCACTCATTCTTTTGCTGTCAGATGATGCCATGCACTGTGTTCGTGAAGGCAGACTCTCAACACTGCCCCCCCTGGACAGAGGCAGAGTCCTCAATGGGTCTCCCTGTAAGAACATAAGAAAACTTTCACTACAGAAGATTTTTGTGGTATTTATGCATTTATTATTTGATAGTCACAGTAGAGAGACAGGAAAGGCAGAAACAGAGGGAGTGACATGCAGCGAAGGGTCTGGGCCAAACCCAGGACTCAGCCAGGGCCCCCCAGAAGCTTGTCTTGATAAGATTTTTTTTCTATTGTAACTTCTATCTATATCCATTATTACAGAGAAAATGGTTCTCATCACAATGACGAACTGTTTTACCTTTGGCTTGAAGTGAGGAGGAAACTGAGGTGTAATCTTGATAGTGTCGTTGCTCCCTTGAGAATCACTGTGCTCCATGTTTGCGTCGCTTTTGTTGCTTGTGCTGGTACCAGTGTAGTCCACATATGAACCTGTAATTCCCCAAGACACATGACACGAGAGAGGTTTTACAAGTTTCATTCTTTCTCAAACGTGGTGCCTCTCATCGAAGATTTGACATTATTTTTGTATTTAATAGTCCACAACACTTTACAATATTTGACAAAACTCTAAATAACTGAAAATAAATTCCCATGGCCGCCTACATTCAGATATCTACACTGATTCAGTGCCAGGTCTGTGCATTCACTAAACAACAGACTTTGCATTACCACAAGAAGTCTGATTTCTTTCTGTAAACAGCCTAACTAGTTATATGGACTAGTGCACGAGTTGCAAATGATGTGATTAAAGCTACCCGAGGACCTACATTTTACTTTTCTACCGTGGGCAGAGAAACTCAGACATGTTTGTTTCAAACACAATTCTTGGATGCTGAGGAGTAATGAATATGAATTAAATGATTTTTCCAGCTAACGCTGTGGGGCAGCTGTGGCTCAGGAGGTAGAGCGGGTTGCCCGTCAATCGGCGGTTCAATCCCAGCTCCTCCAGACTGTGTGTCGAAGTATCTTTGGGCAAGATACTGAACCCCGAATTGCCCCTGGTGGCTGTTCCACCAGCGTATGGAGTTAGTTTCTGTTTGAGCACTCAGTGAATGAATGGATGAATGGTGAATACAGATGTAGTGTAAAAGCGCTTTGAGTGGTCGGAAAGACTAGAAAGGCGCTATACAAATACGGAGCATTTACATTTACTTATTGCTATCAAGACAGGGATTAGCACCTGTGAAAGTAAACTAAACATAAATGAGTGAAATGTAACACATTTTCTTCCTACATCCTTCTGTGTTGATATTGGATGCTGGAGACCCATGCATTAACTCCCTGTTCTCGTCTAGCCCAAATGTTTATGACTCTTGTACCTGTAGTAGTTCCAGAGTTGCTCTGTCCCTCATCTGAATATTGGTATGGATATTGCAGGGGTTCATCAGATCCTGGGAAGTACTGCAAAAAAAGAAAAACGTGTAAGTAACTTTAAATTTAACAAATAAAACTTCAATTCAGATTTCTTTCATTGCTTTAAAGTGACCCCAAATGAACATCTTTCTACCTAAGCTTGCTGTGTAGGAAAATGTGGGGTTGATATCAATATCATAACTAATAATAACTTCATTTCAGGTGTTAGGGTTAGGTGAACTATACCCTTAACACCAACCTCTTCTTCACCCAACCCAGTACCTCTGGGTAGACTGCTAAAAAGGTTGGTTTCAGTCTAGTTCAAACTTAAGTGTGGAAGCAAAGCAGACTATGATTTATGATACTAGATTGTGCATTCAAAGTCTACACTATCACTGAATCCTTCTGCTGATAGTTTAATGTCAGGAAAGCAAACTTAATCTGTTATCTACTGTATATAACAACCCAAGATCGTCAAAAGTAACCACCACTTTCTGCCAGTCCTCAATCAATTTATGGTGGAAATGTTTTTTTATTTATGAAAAGTGAAATTCAGGTGGCAGGGGACAATTCAAAATCTAAAAATATAGCAGAACAGAAAACTTGGCCAAAAAGAAACTGTGTCAAGAAGTTGTCAAAGTTACTGACTGGTGCACATGTTTTGATTATTTTATCATCAGTAGCTTCTTGTCTTTCTAACTTTAGTTAAATAAATAAATAAATAAATAAATAAATAAATGCGTGCAAATAAACTTTCCTCATTGCTTGTCATTTGTTATTTAACATTTCTTGTTACAAGCCATTATTCAGCCATTCTTTTAACAAATGCTTTCAAAAAGTGATGGGGACACGTCCCCAGCGTCTGCAGTGGAGTAAAAATTGAGGCATTCACCAACTTTCTCAATTGCCTACAACAGTATGAGCCAACTGTTCTCTATGTGAAGGACTGGTCAGAGCAACTGTCTTACATAAGCTATGACGTTTATGTACGCAACATTACAGCAAATCATGTGAAACAGTTTCATTTTGTGTTTTACTTGGTTTAAACTAGATAATGTGAGCTTGCCTGCAATTATATGTGTGATAACTTTCAGCGACCACTTGATCAATACAACAAAATTCAAATAGGCCAGGAGGGAACAAAGATGAAGAGAATAAACTGAGCGATGAATAATAGTATAGGCGGTGTAGCACAGGCACAACCTGGAGGAGGATCTGCTCTAAATGACTGTATTAGTATAATATTATTACATTAAATTAAAAGTATATTGTTAATTTAATAGTAAACTGTAAGTGTGATATTAATATATTCATTATGTTACTATATTCAATATAATTTCATATAACTTACCACTAGTATAATATTAATTCAAATTACAGCTGTTTCAGTTTTGGGTTGTTTTTTATTCATTAACTTTGAAGAAAAATGCTCCAGGCTACATGATAGTCTCCAACCTTGATTTTAGGCTGCTAACTCGTCAATAATCATAACCGTTTATGCAGAGTTCAACATTTATAAAGTTTGTTGCAGCACATCAAACTTTTTTTCAATCCCGCTCCATCCAGGCTGTGATTGATCTGTGCACAAACAGTGACAGAGAGCGTCGGCTTTATGAGAAGTTGAACGTGTTTCAATAAAAGGCACGATTTAGCTAAATAGCCAGCTAACGTTAGCCAAACCCACATGCTCCTTGAATTTTCCCTGTTGGCTTCCCAATTCAGCTGCTGGTGGCGCATCTCGCTCTTGTTTTTCAGGAACGGGGCTGTTCAAATGGTCACAGAGCGACTGGCCACCCAGGTTAATTCTGTTACTCCTGATCGCCACTCCGACTATGTTTTGGACAATTAGCATTGCGGGTCCAGCGGGGTGGGAGATTACTGTCGGTTGTACTCGTAAATCATATTCCGGTGTGCACGGATCTATTTTGGAGCGTTTAAGAGTCAAATAGGCGCACTTTAGATCCCTGCGCCTAACATTACAGAAACGAATCACACAGTTGCTCTCTGCCTGTCTAGTATTTTTGGCTATGCATTATAAATAAATACGTTCACCTACACTTTTAGCAAACAAACTTTTGAACAAACAGGATTTTCATACTGAAAAAATTATCTTCAAAATTTAATACCTTGTTAAATGGCAATTAAGACCTTTTAATGGTCTTAATTTTCGCAAAATTGATTTATCACCTTTTAGGACCCCGCGGACACCCTGTGTAGATACAACGGGTAAATGCAATACTGCAAATAACATTACAACTATAGCTATGGTATTATTTTCCTGGCTCTTTTTTCATAAAGACCAATTCATGTTCATTATGCTCTCTGTGATTCAAGTATTTGGTCATGTTTATTGATTAATTCATTCAGTTTGATGAAAGCCTTACAGAGAGGGTAATCAGTGTATGATTATACCTTCATTAGATGGGTCATGATCTTTACTATCTCCTCCATGGAAGGCCGCTGGGAGGGATCTTTAGACCAGCAGCGTGTCATCAGACTCTCAATGGGCTTCGGCAAATTTTTGATTAAAGGAGGTCTTGTTCCTGAATGTAAAAAAGAAGAATTAAGGCCATAGCTTACCCACAACAACTAACTTGTTCATAGACAAGAGAAGAAATATTGCAAAAAGATGCTAAATCAATCCAGATTCAGTGGTAAAAATATTAACCATGGCCCCAGGTATTTCATTAGATCTTGGGCCCATAGTGAACACTGCAGCTATTATTAGTGTCCCATTAGTATTCTCCTCCCACTACCTCTGTGCTAAGGCAAACTGCAGGGAGCGCTGCACACGTGAAGCTGCTCTCTTCTGCCGGGCTCTTAACTTTCAGTCTCCCAGCAGGCCTAGCAGGTCAGGCATGGCCTTGGCATCTTCTGGCTTCTCCAACTGCCAACCCTACCCCCAGCCCCAGTAAGCGACTCACCGTTGTGCACAGCCCACATAATACGAAAAGCTGGTCCACCAATTTCATCAAAGGGCTTCCTGCGAGTGATCACCTCCCAGAGAATGATCCCCCAGCTGAACACATCACACTTCTCGCTGTAATTGCTGCCTGAAAGCACAGAAGAACGCACAGCAACACTTATCTTCTTTTAAAAACAGGGAAAAAAGCCTCCCGTTGACATCGCTGATTGACTGATAAAAGTAATTCTCTGTGGCACATTTAAGATGAGAGAGGGGATGTGCTGGGAAAGCACAGCAGCTTTAATCTCATCTCTGCTTTCAGGGGGGAGAAGGATGAAAATATGGGAGCAATTTTTACCAAGGAACAGCTCCTGTGTTGCTTAATTACTGGGCCTATTATTGCAGAATTCAAGTGCACATCACACATCTATCCTAAAACTGCTGCACTGAGGTGTCCTGATAGCATTTCACACTGATGCAAATTAGTCGTTAAGCGTTGAGAAAGGGCAAAAGTGAGTTGTTTAATTGCACTAGAGTCTTGTAGCTTGCCTCCAAAAACAAGATAATGACCTGGGCATAAGATTCAACCGCCATCTATGAGTACAGTACAGTGACTCAGAGGAAACACTGATGTTGAAAGAATCTTATATTACATGACTGTCTACAACAAGGACCTGCAACTTTGAGATTTCACACTAACGTTACCCATTTGAAAGAGAAGCTAGATAACTTTGTTTGGCAGGAAACTGTGTTAGATCCTTGTTCAACTCACTTTTATTCACATGTCCCCTCCGACCTGAACTACAGACAAGTGGCTCGCAGATAAATTTAGAATATGTCAAACACTACAGTTTAACTGCTCATTATCGTTGGCGCTATTCCACTGATCCAGACAACAATGCGCAGCATTAGCTGCTATAAGTGATGATTCAAAATATTTAGAAGTGATGAACTATGGAGAAATTACTGGTGTAATGTGAAAAATTGAGGTGCTTTTTTTTTTTTTGCTACAATCATGATACCGGCTAAATGTTGTGATGTCTGTCAGCCATTGCCAATCAATGGATGGCATCATCTATCGGCCCAACCCCATTGTGTGGTGTTAGCCAAGCGGGAAGCTTCCGTTCAGAGAACTGAGTAAAACTTGCAAGTCCCTTAAACCTGCATTCTATTGAATGGCCAGCAGGGGGTGACTCTTCTGGCTGCAAAAAGAAGTCCAGTTCCATTAGAAATAAGGATGAAATGACCCTGCTTCTGGGCGGCACGGTGGTGCAGTGGTTAGCACTTTCGCCTCACAGCAAGAAGGTCGTGGGTTTAAACCCCAGTTGCCCTGGCCTTTCTCTGTGGAGTTTGCATGTTCTCCCCGTGTCTGCGTGGGTTCTCTCTGGGTACTCTGGCTTCCTCCCACCGTCCAAAGACATGCAGTCTAGGTTAATTGGCGACCCTAAATTGTCCTTAGGGACAATGTTCGTCTATGTGTGGCCCTGCGATGGACTGGCGACATGTCCAGGGTCTCGCGCCCGATGTCATTGGCTCCAGTCCCCCCGCGACCCTGTATGTACGGATTTGCGGTTGATGGATGGATGGATGACCCTACTTCTCAGCTGATTTATTCCCACAGTAAACAATTTCTTGATGAGTTTATGGTCTCAGTCGCTAGTTTCAAGTCTTCTTCAACACAGCATGATGTTCATTTAGTAAATTATGGTCCCATTTAGACGAAGATAGACCACAAAAGCAGAGTATGCTTCAGGGCGGGATTATCTGTGACCAGCGCCGCTAAAAAAAGCTTATTAGGAGTTGGCTGTTCACTTTCTCTGGTGAGTACATTTCGTTTTAAGCCTACTATTCACCAGACAAAATTGTCAGCCCTGTTAAAATGACAGTTAACATGAATTACAGATGTACCTAGCTAAGTAAGCTAGCTAGCTCCACACATGGCTGTTAGCTCCACCGTCTCGTCGAAATATGGTCACGTCCGGTGCCGCTGGTTGCAAAAAAATCAACATGGCGGTGCCCTATCGGCCAAACTTGAGGCTTCAAAACGGCGGTCCACAAAGCAACAGGTGACGTCGCAATGACTACGTCCACTTCTTATATACAATCTATGGTTTAAGCAGACTGTGTTGGTCTATTATTGTGACTTAAATGAAGATCAGATCACATTTTATGACCAATTCATGCAGAAATCCAGGTAATTCTAAAGGGTTCACATACTTTTTCCTGCATCTGTATACTTTATCCTGAACAAAGTCCTGGACCACAGACATGGATGCAAGTTCACTGCTGGGTACTGTGTTTAAAAATATAAGTTACATTATATCTAGCCACAAAACCAGGACCTTTCTCTGTATTCCTTTTCTCTTCATCTCTTCATGTACTAACACACCCACTCACACGCAGTCCATGCATCTACACATACACATCTGGAACCCACAGCATGGAGCCTAGACTCCAGCTGTGCCCCACGCAATTGTGTTGAGGACAAGTAGAGTGTATCTGCCATTTTGGATCCTAGACATATAACCAAGCCTACCCCTACCAGATTCCAACACATTTTAGCAATTTACTTAGAAATCAACTGACAGGGCAGGTATGTCAAGCAGGCAAAGCTCTTCAACTACTTGGAATGCCACTCATACTTGCCTTCAAATACCTCTGGGGCCATCCATGCAGCACTTCCCTTGTTGTTGGTCATGTGGGTCTGAATGTCGCATGCTGTTCCAAAGTCACATATCTTCAGCACAGTGCCGCCTGCTACAAGAAGCAGACTGAAAGAAGAAGAAAAAAAGAAATCCTACTAGAAGCTACTTCAAACCTTAAATAAGATTTAAGAGCTGTAACAAGCTACTGGTACAATGTACAGGCAAACACAGTGGTTTCCAACTACTGGAACCACACGAGATAACAGACTGGTGTGTTAGAAAAGTAAGTGATGAATCATTAAATACAGTAACATATGTGTGTAGTATAGTAATGAATTCATCTACAATAATCCAGAGTTGACAATTTGTCACAACATGTCAGAACAGATCTCAGGGAAACAACCTGGTCATTCCCAGACCGTCCTGCCAGGACACTTCTATCCACAAGAGCACAGTAAAAGTTTATATTTTGTATTTTAACAAACAACAAACTATCCTTCTTGGTTTTGCATGTTCTTTTAAAATGCTATTGTCAAATCTATTAATAATGTAGTAGTAGTGGTACTATTGTTTTAAATTGTCAAAGATTTTAAAAAAATAAATATTTGGGAGTATTATAGGGAGTAATACAGTACTATGACTTGCATAAAAATACATGACAAATTAGGTAGTCTTGCTAAACAGGTCTCACTAAAATATAGGAAAGGTGGTTGCTCCAGTTTTGAACACATAAAATGTTTTATATAAATAATAAATTACAAATAAACATGTAAACACTCTTCAAAAAGAGCTTGGGAGAGAAGTTCAAAACCTGCCTATATTAAGACACAACACTCTACATATGCAAGCTCTGTACATCTTTATAACAACACATAAGAAACTACATATTTTTGATCATGTGGCTTGCAATACTGTGTGACTCAAGATAAAGTTTTACACTTGTGACTCACAATATCAGGCAGCCTGACCAATTAAAATGTGAAATAGTTATAGAACAACATGAACTAAATCAAACAATTTTAAAAGAAACCACAAGGTCATTTGTTGGTACAGTGAAACAAGAGACAAGAGTGTGAGGTGAGGAGGAGCATACTTGGGTGGCTTGAGGTCCCTGTGAATGAGAGCCTTTGGTTTCATGCCATGGAGATAGGCCACGCCCTGGGAACACTGTAAACACCAGCTCATGGCATGGGAAGCAGTGTAATAGGGGAGGGGTTCAGCACCATGCAGCACTGTGGACAAGAGAGCACAGTCACATCCACCACCACAGACAATCAACCTCCAGAGGAACCAAACACAAAATGTAGTGCTTCATGTCACTGTCATACACACTCACATACACAAGGCTGACTACCCTTTTCTTATTATAGCATCTTTAACAAGTTAATTCCTCCTGGAATTAACCAGCATAGAGCAGCTCCCAGGAGTTACTTTTATAGAGATTCAGTGACTAGGGAGGAGAGGTACTTGTAAAGCACAACAGAGGGTCCTATAGTGCGGGACTCACATCCTAGAAAACTTGCCAAGCTGAATCTCTTAAGAATGAAAGCTGTTTCAACCACTGATGTGTTGGGAAAACAGATACAAGACCTACTCACATAATGAAACACTCATGCATACATTCATTACCTGCAATGAATTTGAGTTGAGATGCCTCTAATTGCATGTATAGTATAGATTTAAATGGTTAATTCAGGTTTATTACTACTTTGGCCAAATTTTTTGTAGTTTTCATCATTCCTATCAGTTATGATCACATGGTCCTCAGCAGAGTACTTGCTGAGATCTGGGAACAAAATCCAATAGGCCAAGAAACACGAGGCAGTCGCACGATCAGATGTGTTTTAAACAAACAAACAAACTGTTGCTCCACATTATCTAAACTCCTTTTACTTGGAGGTCAACTACCTGAAATGTCTCCAAAGATTCAGATTAAATCCTTTATTGCCATTTCAACATCCAGTAGTCAATACAGATTTGATTTGGTAAGCCCCCACAAAAGAACAACAAGACACACTTCACATACAGCAACTACCTTCAGGCATAAGAGTGAATAAGAAGCCTAGGTAATAAAAAATCAAACAGGTGGTATTATGCTCATTTTCAGGTTCAAAATCTTATTTAGGGGTTGTGAGGTTACAACTCACGGCCCAAGGAGAACAACAAACGCACGTGTGCACATTTTCAGCTGAGGACTGCAGCTTCAGCTTCAACTCAACAATCAATCAGGATTTCAGTTAATTGCTGAAGTTGCTGTTACCTTCCGCTGGCACGACACCGGCTGCTTTTTGTTCAGTTGCCGTCGTGCTGTTGCCGAGGCGACATAAGTTTCGTTTTACGGTAGAAGGACTGTGATATTACAGAGTTGTTGTTTTCTTTAGCTTGAAATAATAACATATGTTGGACACTTTCTTCTTTGTCCCTCGCTATTTTCTCTCTCTTCCTCCACTTTGCAAACAGCGCCATTAATAATACGTCGTGTTCACAGAGTAAGGGCAATGTGCGACAGTAATAAATGTCCGTGCGAAACACTGTGCCGTATAGTTAAATGGATTCAACAAAGTATCAATGCAAAGAATTTGTGTTGATGCATTTTATAAATTGATTTTATCGATTTAATTGATCGTTTCAGCCCTACTACATGTTGCCGGCCAGCTTGGCAACATGGACTGGAGCAAGAGTTTCAGAGTGGTGAGTTATTAATCTGTAACAAAAGTCTCTTTCATCCATAAAGTTTTAACTGAGCTCTGTCTCTACATCACAGAAACAACTTTATGTCCACTGACTGCCTGGATGGCAGCTAGTGTTTGGAAGGGAGAGGAGAGCTGTGTGCTGCAGCTCACTGTTTTTCCACCGCTGTTTTCGAGGGCGTGTCAGAGTAGCCGCTTGGCGAGCGTTGTATGAGGCGCATTTAAAGCGGCTGGACTACAATCCAGCTGTTTTCAGGCGGTTCAGAGCAGAGTTTTCTGTGGGAGATGGGAACTCCCTTTGGGCTGGACTTTGGCCTTTTTCATTTTGCAAACCTAGTACATGCACAAAAAAGATGTATAACTCAACTCAATAAAGGAGAGAGGGAAAAAGCCAAAAAGCATAATACCACCTCTTTAAGACAAGTATTCACATAAGAATGCCATCAGTACCACAACCAGCTATGATTTATATCATAATAGCGGCACATTGACGATTTAAAGGATAAGGTCTCAGACGGGCTCTGGGCAGGTGCTGTCACAGAACCTGGCTGTCCTGGTTCTGATTCTTTTCAGTCTTTTAAAAGAGGGGATGAAGTAAAAAATATGATCAGCGTGGTGAGAGGAGCCCAGAGGAATATTGCGTCCGTTTTTCCATAGTTTAATTGTGTAAATTTCACACAATTTAAATTGTTAAATTTTAGTGTTAAATCTATTCAATTCGCCCAGCAGATTTCGTTAAATAAGATTTTAATGATTCGTTCGCTTTCCATCTTCTTTTAAGTTAAGGTTTAAAAACAGAATGAGTAGGATTTCCCCCAAAACAATCCCTCTCAATCATCTCTTATGATGCACTGGAAGTGTGTGGCATTGTCAGTGTCTGTCAACCTTTGAGTTTACAAACCAATGTAGTGAGAGGACTGTCAGACTTGCTAGTGTCTGAAATGAGCTGGTTTTTTTGCTGACATTAAAGAACTGATACAGCAATGTTGTAATTTATAGCATTAGCATGCGCTTCGGGTGTCCAGGCCCAACTTCGAATGTTGTTTACATGCCACAACCGATAATCCAATTCATTCTGCCTTTAACTAACCTGAGGGTTGTTTTAAACCTGACGACTGTCTAACAGTTTGTCTTTCTTAAGCCTGTGGGACTCCTTTTTAACTATGTTGCCACATTCTCAGATCTCAACAATTGCCTCGGAAAATACAATTGCATTATTATTGATAGTAATGATGGTCAAAACTCTGAAAACAAAACCCAAATTTCAACTGACATATATCCTTTCCAGAAAACAGTAAAGTACCTACTATATTTTAAGAACTGTGGGTAATACTTTTTATTGTTTTGTGATAAATGTGATCAGACAAATGTATCTTTTATAAAACATATAGTATAGTATTACTGCATAGTGTTGTTTGTCGTCACATTGCACCATTTCCCAGGTCCACTTTCATGCAGGGACAAACAAGGCTGTACTGTTTAGACTAGTTTATAAAGGAATTGGACAAGTGACTGGACATGCAAACAGAGGGTCAATTGAACAGGGCTGCTTCTCATGTCTGTGCAAAGCTGTGTTCATTTCACTACTAGTAAAGTGGAACATCTGCAAACATTATTGTTTTCTAACAGAACATGTAGACTCACCATTGTACAATGACCCGCCTTCAGCATATTCCATCACAAGGCAGACCTGATGGGGAGAGAATCGTCAACTCACAGATTCCAGGCAGACAATACAAGCAGAAATACTATTCTGAGACACACCATTACTGTGCAAAGTGGAATATCTATATGGCTGTATAGTTAAGAGAGCATAATGCTTAATAACATTCCTGTTAACTTACTGGACTATGGCAAGAGCCATACAACTTCACAATGTTGGGGTGATTCACACGTGAAAGCTGTCGGAGCTGGAGACAAAGAGGAAACATTATGCACAACTCCACCTCCAGACATGTCGTTCAACACCTTAAATATACAAATATTTATCTTGTCAAGTACTTTGCCCAGCTACTATAGACGGCAGTAGTATGAAGTTAAACTTTGATACTAGAGCTCGACTCTGTGTCTCACCTATTGTTGTAGTAGTGAGGAAAACTCACAAGTGGAACAGACAAGTGCAACTGTACCTCAACAATAAAGGCTTTCCTCTCTGATTCACTCTCAATGGTCTTGATCGCGACATCTTTGCCTTTCCATTTGGCTTTGCACACAACCCCAAAAGCTCCTCTTCCCACCACCTGAAAATGGAGAGTTAACAAGAAAGTTACTTACGTCACTAAGTAACCTTCTGCACGTTCATATAGCGCATTAACTGAGTCCTGTCAGTGCCACGGACAGAGCACATACACAACCACACATACCTCCTCAACTTCAATATCCTCATAGTTGATTTCTTCAAACGGATATCCAGGAGGTGTTTCAAGTATATCGGCGGGTGGTAACGTTAGAGACATTACTAGCTAACGTCAGCTAGTAACTTACTGAAAAGCAAACAAATTGCAGACAGAAAGATCATAAATATTAACGTTTGATCACAGTTAATCTGAGCACAAGGATGCACACACTTGCTTCAAGAAATCTATCATAGGTAACGTGTCGTTCCCCATGACAGGGACATGGCTGTATAAATACGTTAGCTGATGTTACTTTAAAAACTGCAGCGCGGTTACTTAACACACACATTCTGTCCAGGTTGTCGAACAAGATATAACGTTAAGGGCTTAACGTTAGCCTTCTGGCAGCTAGTATGATGCAGTCAACCAACTGGCTAACCCCACAGCTTAACTAACGTTAGCAGGTTTAACTGTAACGTTAGCTGCCCTAGGAAAACTGTCACTGAAACGTAAGAGTGCCCAAAGTTTTCGAATACATAAAGCTAACGTTAACTTACATATCTATAGCATCACCGTAGACTGGCGCTTACGACAAAGTAACATCACCATACCACAACCGCAAGTAAAACCAAGCTACTCAAGGCCTAGTGTTTGAGCTAGCCAGCTTACGTTAGCCGGCTGGCCTGTTGATAACGCAAGCTACCGGGGCTTTTTAGCTTCAACAATCCAACCCTTCGCAGTTGACTTCTCACCAGCGCCGGCTCTCTGGACATGGGGATATTGTCTACTATTTATGTACGGAAAACAGAGGAATAACGTCCATTTTTGAAATTAGTCTCTCTCCGTCTACTTGACAGCCAGACATAACTTTTTCACAACTCGTCTAGCTGGCTTGCTAGGAGTGTATTTTTATTCTTCGCAGGAGCAGCTCCATCAGGAAGTGTGCGCGCATTGCAATTGTGTCCCCTGTGCACTGAACAGGAGCTTTCATTCCAACCTGAACACAAGGAAAGGCTCGCTTCAATGTTGGAACATTGTGAACTGAAGCTAATTTAACTGTCTTATGTCCCGCCGGAAAGTTTAAACGGTGACAAAACATCATACATCATATGACGAGCATTTGCTTACGAAAACTTTATTCTGAAATATATTTAGTATGTTAGCCTAAATTAATATTATAGCAAATCTTGTTAGAGAAAACGTAACCTTACAAAATTTCCCACTGAGATGTTGTGGAGGTGAAGCGTAAAAAAAACATACAATGGAAATATTCAAAAGACAGTACCTCAAACCTACAGTATGTAGCCTACAGTATTTGAGTAAATTCTTTTATTTTACACCTATAATCCTACAATAACAATTATTTAACAAAACATTTTTAACTCTAATTTATTAGCTTTTTCTGCATATTTCAACTGCTTCCTCAGTGGATAGTCTTTGCTTAGACAAAAGTTAGCCTCAGTCTCTGACTAACCCCATCCACTGAAAAAACCTGTGAAAAGCAGTAGAAAGCTCCTGAAAAAGTGTTAAGCTACTGTTTACAAGGTCAAGAATGAAGTGTCACACTTGCAAGTCTAATGTTATAGTAAAAAAAAAGGTCTAAGGCACTCCTCTGGTAAAAAGACTTGGTTATTTAATGGTGAAATTCTAACAACATAGACAATGTTAAAATACAGCTGTAACGGCACAAACAGCCTTCGTAAGGGTGTAGCCCTGAGCACACAGTGCACTTTAGTATATACAGGTGCAGATCCTGTGGGTGACGAATGAAAAGCATGAACACTAGACGGCTCTACAAAACGTGCTGAAGGAAGAACAGATGAGAGAATGAGAGAAAGAGAGTACAGACAACAAGACAAAAATCAAACAATATTCTAACAATACATAACAGTTTACAGCAACGGCACCAGATCACATGCACCAAAACAACTCTAAAAAAACAACATACTTAAATCAGTTTCTTCTTTTAGCCCTGGGTAAGCTGGGCCTGCATTTGCTGTATATAAAATGTTTCTGTCTGGATTGCTGTTGTGTAGGCTACATCATAAAAGTGCTTAGCCATAGGGTAATCCAAAGTTAGTCTTCTGATTGCATACTTATGCATTTAGTCGTCTCTTTGTCAGACATGTGTGAAAGCAGCCACAGGCACAAGATAAACAGTACACAACAAGCATAGTGTTACAGGTAACGAACGGACTTGCTTGGCACTAATCTGTCCCATTGTGAAGGGACTTTTGAAACTGATTTTAGGAGGAGATGGAAAAACTTACCTATGGAATATGGTCACTTATAAGAGGATTGGGATTTGTTAGAGAGCTTCACCCCATGTCAAAGTGCACCTGCTCTTGCCCTAAAGATTTTCTTTTCCTTTTCTTTTAAAGAGTTCAGATCTATAGGTACACCGGGCCATTTCTGTAAGCATCCTGGACAGTTTTGTAGCCTCTAAGTCAGATTGTAGCCTGCTTTTTTAGGGCCCTACTGAAATTGATGCATTTATTTTTCTTCATTAGGGCTCTAGCAACGACTGCAGATTCGGATAAGGAGAAGAAACAGAATTTCTTGACAGGGAAAACAGAGACGTGCTGCTCTTGCTACACTAGCAAGACATTGTCAAATTGTAAGTGAAAAGATGAAAATGATACTAAGCCTTTACATTTATATTTAATAGATACTGTACACATATAATTTCTGAATTCTCAGTGTGAACAATTAACTCTCACAGTCAGACTACACCCCCTCCTGGGGAAACTTGGACATGGCACATTTTCACATCACATACAGTAATCTATTACAACATTTTGTGTGATTTTATTGTCACCTAGCTTACCTAGTCACATATTTCATTTCATGACACTGTGTCATCAGTTTTAACAATTTATTTACAGCATGAACAACCATCTCAGTACTGTGCACTGAACTGAAAAGTTCCTGTCTTGGCCCTACACATGGATGGCCAAAGTGACCTGTGGCCAGACTTCCCCCTCTCAACACCCACTGTAGCTCATCTCGTCCACATCCTCTGCTCTCCATTTGACCATGGCTGGAGCCATGACCTAGAGGTTCTGGTGCAATGTCTTACTGTTTCATCTTAAGAGCGTTTGACATCCCACGTGATATCATCCACAGGGTCGCACACATAATAATCAGGCTCAAAAGCAGGGTCATCTGATGTCCACCACCTGGCTGTCACATAAGAATCAAGCCTCCAAGTGCAGATCCTCAGTGCTACTTCAACAGGAAATTGTTCAGATGCAAGCAGTGTGTGACCACCAGTGTCAGTTTCTGGACTTATAGTCGGACTTATTGGCTCAGTCCATGATACCTTAGCTCTTAAAAACGGTCCTTTGTATGTTCAACAACTGTACCTAGCTGAAGGGTTTTCTAGAGGATGGTGGATATCCTTGTATGTCATGGCCCATCACACTCATCACACCATACAGGGAGTGAGCAGTGCAGTCACAGCAAGGTCAACAGGCAGCATGCAAAGGCTCATTCTGTGTTTGAAAGGCCATTTGGCGTAATGAAGACCAGGTGGTGATCGATATTTTTCAAGGCTCTGGAAGTGCACCCTGCTTTTGCAGTAAGGTCATTGCTTGTTGTGTGTTCCTACACAACTTCTGCCTCAGAGACGGAGACACACTTGAGCCTGTGGAAGAGGCACTGGTGCCAGTTGACGGAGGTGGTCAGCTTCAGCCAGACTTGTGTGTGGGCACATCGCTGCTACTCTTTCAGCTCCAAACACCTTAAGGGGACGTGTCAAAGTCAAAACTCATTCACACAAATATTTCATTTCAAGTTTCATTCCATGTAGCAAGTTTCAATTGCTAATAGTGTTAAAAGTTATTACAAAATACGCCCTGTTACTTATTCCTAACATTGTTAAACCCACTGGAAAGTTGTTGTGTTGGAATTTGCTCTGTAGATATTAATTCAGTGCTTATCAATTTTTGAAAAATGTTTTTTATTATTATAAAATAAAACAAACATTGATTTTCATATTTTCAATAGTCTTTAGATAGATCGATTAGATTAGATAGATTTAACAGCCTCTCCTGCCTGGCCTCGTCTCACCTGGCCCTCTCCTCTGCCCTCTCTATCAGTTCCAGGATGACATCACACCGTTGCCTTTTGGTGCTGGCCCTGGCTCCTCTGACCTTACACTCCCTGGCTCTGGAGCCTGACACTCTCAGGCTCTGGCTCAGATGGCACTGAATCAGGGGACGCTGATCCGGAAATGGAAGGATTAACTCCCAAGGAGGAGACCATGAGGCATGGAGGCTGTATAGATGACCTGCCACTTATTGCCTCATCTATGAGAGAGAACCACTTCCATGTTCCAGCAGTGGGCTCCCCTGATTCAGTGCCACTTCCTGTCGGTGGCCTCCTGAGCTCGTGTGACCTTGTATGTCTTCTTTAAATTCTCCCACTTCAATATACTCCCACAGGTAAATTCACAAACAACAAACAAATCTATCAGTATCATTAATGATGCTGGTCATGATGGATGGCAATTTAGTCAAAAGATAAAGGTATAATTTTATTTTTATTATCAATACACGTGAAAAGAAGATACTCTTCTCTTCAGAATTTGATGTAACTCACGTTATCAAGCGGCAGAGGCAAAACGCTTCCCTGAGAAGAGACGGTCTTTCTCTCTCCTTAGGCGAATAAAACTTGCCACATCGTCATCTGTCCCTGAAGAGATTAAAATAAATTGACAACAAATATTTGCTTGTGCGCGGAGCTGATGGCTCATTACAGATGGGGCCAGGACTTTAAGTGGGCCCTTATCCACTGGGCACCTTTTTTTTCATACTTTAATTGTTCCGATAGACAGCAAGGGAAAAGTTGCTTTCACACCTGTAGTTCGGTTAATCTGGTCCGAACCAGGGGGGAAATTGTTGCATTCTTGTTTTCCGGTCAGGTTCATGTTCACACTGACTTTTTACAAACAAAGCAAGAGGAGTAAACATGAAGTCATGCAGACTGACGGGTTACTCTGATTGTCATCCTGCACCATCAGGACTCACATGGGGAAATCAAATTGGCGATTTGGCCTGGAGATTATAAGCATTATTAGAATTATTAGACTGCAAATGTAAAAATACTGAAATTAATGAAGAAGGGCGTAGAGACAGAGCGAAGAGGAGGCCTTGTACAGTAATGATTCAGGGATTACTGTGAGATCACTGTCACACACTTTTTAATGCCTGAATGAATTGACAAAGTACACAGGGTACCTAGTACTTGGGGAAATGCATTGAATACACGCTCTATAACAAAGCTCAGAGTGGGGGCAGTGGTGAGTAGAGTACTGAAAATCTTCACCCCGTAAAAGTACAATTACAAGTACTCATTTAAAAATGACTTACGTAAAAGTTAAAAGTTAAAAGCTAGGAGTAGACAACACTCTCATTTTTATGTTACATAACATTTATAGCCACTTTGAATCAACTGCCAGTTCAATCAGGATTATGTTTTTCTGATTTTCTACTGCTTTTAACACTATTCAACCATACCTTAAAGCCCATAAATCTCAACCAGAAATTTTCCGATGACACTGCCCTTGTTGGTCTCCTTAATCGAGGTGATGACCAGATCTATAAAAGAGAAGTTGCCTCTCTGTGAACTGGTGTGAGTCAAACGTCTTAAAACAAAATGTTGGGAAGACAAAAGAGTTGTTTATCGACTTTAGGAGGAAGAAGGAGGAGCTTCTTCCTGTGATCATTAATGGTCAGCAAATTGAAATTGTCCAGTCCTATAAATATCTTGGTGCTTGCCTTGATAGTAAACTAAACCTGAAGAAGAACACAGACACTGTTTTCAAGAAGGCCCAGTCAAGACTAGTTTCCTGAGAAAATTAAGATCCTTTGATGTAAACAGAAACCTGCTTTATGCTTTTTATCAAGGCATTATAGCCAGTGTTCTTTTTTCTGCTGTGCCTTGCTGTGGAGGCAGCATTACTGTAGATGATAAAAACAAGATCAATAATTAGTTGATTAAAAAAAGCTGGCCTTGCCCCTGACCCACTGGAGGTTATAGAAAAGTGCCAAACTAAAGAATGTTAGGGATCTTGTAGATCATCCACTCCACAGTTTCTTTAAGACATTTAGTTCCTTTAGTGGCTGACTGGAGACGCCCCGGCGTTCTACTAAACGCCTCAGATGGTCTTTTGTTCCGACAGCAATTAGATTTTTTAATGAATATTTCTGATTTTGATTTTAAGGTTTCCAGCTGGTCCTATTTGTAGCAACCCATTAGCTCTAAGCAGGCTTCAGAAGGCTTTTTATGGGTGTAGTGTTTTTATTTCTTGTCCTGTGTGTACATACTGGTTGTCTTTTCTGTTTCTGTTCTATGTTGTTTGATGTGACTGGGGATTCATAAAATTTTCGATCTATCTAGCCTACCATTGTTGCCTGTATCTGTCATCTTGAGACAGACATGTAGCCAACCAAGGGCTACATGAAGGGTGCTGCATATGATTTGCCTTCTCTAAAAGCACAGGCAGCCAGTACAGCATGATTATTCCTAAAGCATCTATGAACATAATCGTTACAGCGTAAAGAATAATTATGGCCATTGTTGAATGAAGTAGGGTAAGCTTACATGTAGAGGAAGCTGTGTATCATGCATAAAGCCCAAGAGCATGGTCAACCATATTTATTCCCTCCCTTCTTCTCAAAAGTGATTGTTTCCTGAATAAATAACAGCTGGCAGCTGAGTGAAAGCCAAGATCGGTTTCACCGGCAACATTCTATTGAATGAAAAGTAACCGCTGCAAATTAGAGTAAATGAATCTTTTCCATCAACAGAAAGCCATGCTCTGCACAACGAGAGGATTCTGATAATATATCAGAATCACTCCAGTGATCATCTGAATTAGATGTTACAGTGGGTAGCCTACATTAGTTCTGCAGAGACTAAATATGCTTTTGATACGCCGTTAATGGAAGGTGTTTCTGCAGCTTGTGAAAGGGCGTTTCACGCTGCTTTTCAACACAGTCACCAGTGGCACAGTGTGCAGTTACTGGATTAGAGTGACATTAGTAGACCTTAAATAGAAAATGGATTTGCATGATTTTCTAAATGTTTGCCTCTGTCCAGCTCATTAATATCTGGCACAGGAGTTAAAGCTCTGCCACGGAACACAACTTGGATGGCTCATTTTGTTCATGTATTTCGTTCATAAAATGCACAGTAGATAACAGACTAGGTGTAATGAAGGAAAAAATGCAAATATAGCAAAGTTAAAAATAGATTACTGGCCCCAAAAGTAAAGGTTAAAAGTTGAGTTTTAAAAGAAAAAAAATCTCATTTGCGTAACTTACTTGTAAGGAGTTACTACTCACCTCTGATGGCGGGGCCCTATTAAGGGGGTACAAAGGTTGGAATCACTGACTGTCCCTGCTGGTGCAGTTTGCTGCCTGAGAGGAGAACCTCTTGGCAGCGGCTTGTGCCCGTCTCTGCAGAAGACACAGATGTAGTCTGAGTCTGACTTTTCCGTTGCAGTCAAGACAAACAAACTAACTTTATTCAAAATATTTAACTAAACAACAAAAATGCATGTTCAGTCAGAAAGACTGTGTGGGCCCCTTTTTAACTGGAGACCAGGATTTTGTGTTCCCCACCAAAGAGCACCTTCATCACACTTCTGACCTTTTCTTTTGTAATGTTAGAGTTTGACTGGGTGCATCTTTTAACATTCCAACTACTTGCAGAAAGTTAAACTAGTATTGACATATTACTATTAGAATTCAAATTAGTTACATCAACAACGTAAGGAAAATAGATATTTCCATTAAATGCTGCTTCCAAGTTAATGCACCGGTATCCACTATTCTAATACTGAAATGAGACATTTATCTGAATATGTCTTTGTCACTGTTTCATTGTATTCAATTTGTTATATTTTGTGTTTTTACTAACTGGTACAACTTTTGGTTTTGGTAATTGGCATTAAAAGCGTTAGGAAACCCTCCAGGGAACGATCTCTTTGAATGTTTTTTTTTTTTTTTTTGCAGATTTCCTAAGAAAGCTCAGGCTGACTCATCTGGACTTGTTGCACTTCTCTGTGGGCCTGGTACCATGTAATAAAGGCTAATTAACTTCACTTAATGTTTGACTTGACACTGGACTTTGTGTGAAATACAAGTTGTTGGTTCTGAGCATCTTTTCCAGTCTTTCTCTACGGACATCAGAGGAAGTTCTGCTGACCTTTGATGTAACAATTTAGCCTCGCAAGCAAGACCCTTCTTGATCAGGCAACTTACACTTATGTAATATGAAAATTACATTTGTGAGGGGGAATGTTATATAAACACAACACTTGATGAATGCTAATTACATGCTCCACTCACAGGGAGTAATAAAGCAAGTTCCCAATGGACGCTTTCCAAACCACTAGGCAAGCACAACTCATACTAATGAGCATGAACTAATTTGTTGTGATATTGAACAGAGGGTTGTTAATAGCAGGAGCCATCCCTCTCCCCAGAAATAATTATTCTAATCGCTCATTTCAAAGGTGATTAAAATGCTCTCACCTGGCAATTTTCAGGGACTACCTGCATCAGCATATGGTTTGGGACCTGCAGTCAACAGGAAGTTGCCTTCTTGTTTACTCTCTCAGCTGCCTAAAATCTTTGAAGTCAGGCCTGATGAGATGCTCTCCTTCTGGACAGGTGACTTTCACTGCTACCCGTGTGGCATAATTATGCAGCACTGTGATGTAAGTGATGATGTTGAGTAATATCCTGCAATACCAAAGTGACATTTACGAGCTGGAGATGGGGTTTAATTTGATCTTTGACAGGACAAAATCCAGCTGTCATCAGTACTGTACAATCCATTCGTTAGCATGGGCCAACTTGGTGATTTTTGCATGTTTGCTATTGTGGCCAACGTACTTCACTGATCCACTTTGTATGACAAAGAAGTCGTGGTATGATCTGT